CGTTTTCTTGGAGGGTTGAAGAATGAGATCATGAATGTGGTCCAATTGCAACCATATTGGACATATAACGACGTCGGTGGACGTTTCTCTTCGAATGGTGGTGCTTCCAACCGGGGGACTGCTTCTACTTCCAAGAACACTCCAACTACAAAGGATATAAAATAGAAAGTTGATGTTGGTAAGGGGAGGAGTACTGGTTTTGTGAAACCAAGTGCTACCAATAGGCAACAGAGTTCTTTCAAATGCAAGGGCTTTGGACATTTTGTTGTACATTGTCCACATCAAAGGATCATTACTCTTGTTGATGAAGAGCAGGAAAGAGGAAAGTAATGAAACAACACCACTCTATGATGAGCATGATAAAGATGATGTCACTTGTGAGGATCACGGATAAGCTTTACTGATACATCGTAGCCTCAATACAACCTACATTGCGAATGATGTTGGCTTGCAATAATATTTTTCACACCAAGTGTGTCAAATGGCAAAATATGTGATATTATTATTGATAGGGGAAGTTGTGAAAATGTTGTGGCTACTACTATCATGGAAAAGTTAAAAATGAGAACCGAAGATAATCCTCAACCTTACAAGTTATCATGACTTCGTAGAGGTAATGACGTGAAGGTAAACAAAAGATGTCTTGTCCAATTTTCTATTGGTAACAAGTACAAAGATGAAGTTTGGTGATGTTATTCCTATGGATGTGTGCCATTTGCTTCTTGGTAGACCATGGCAGTATGATAGGAGAACACAACATGATGGTTTCAAAAACATTTACACATTTGTGAAAGATGGTGAGAAAAAAATATTGGGACCGTTAAGAATGAAGGATGTCCAAGAACATCAAAAGGTGAAGGAAATAATTTGCTCTCAAAATTACAAATTGAGAGTTCAATGAATGAATCAATGAGGGTGTGTGCATTGGTGGTTAAAGAAGAAAATGAAGAGGGTAATCCTATACCATTTCAAGTTCAATCTCTTTTGCAGGAATTTCATAATGTGGTGTCTGAAGAGATCCCCACCAGGCCTTCTTCCAATGCAAAATATTCAACATTGCATTGATTTCATTCCCGGTGTGTCGATTCCGAATAAAGCGGCTTATAGGATGAATCCTAGAGAGCATTAAGAGTTACAACGGCAAGTTGAGGAGCTATTAGCTAGAGATCCTTTGCAAGAAAGTAAGAGTCCTTGTGTTGTTCTGGCACTTCTTGTGCCAAAGAAAGATGGTTTATCGCGTATGTGTGTCGATAGTAGAACGGTGAACAAAATCACAATCAAATACCGTTTTCCTATTCCTCGCCTTGATGGTCTTCTTGATGAACTTCGTTGTTTCAAGATTGGTTCTAAAATTGATTGTGAAGTGGCTATCATCAAATTCGGATGAGGCTTGGAGATGAGTGGAAGACGGCCTTCAAGACAAGAGATAGTCTTTACAAGTGGTTGGTTATGCCATCCGGGCGTTCTAATGCACCTTCTACTTTTATGCGGCTTATGAATCATGTGTTTAAACTCTATATTGGAAAGTTTTTGGTTGTCTATTTTGATAATATTCTTGCATATAGCTCCAGCCCGGAAGAACATTTGATTCATCTTCAACAAGTTTTTGGTGTGCTACAAGTGCAAAAGTTGTATGCCAATTTGAAGAAATGTCATTTCTTCACTGATAGTCTAATATTTTTGGGCAATGTTATTTCTTCCAAAGGTGTCAAGATGGATGAAGGAAAGATTGAAGCCATTCTTAGTTGGCCGATGCCGAAGATGATTCAACATTAGAAGTTTTCATGGCTTGACCTCACTTTATCACAGGTTCATAAACAATTTCAGCACAATCATTGCACCTATAACTGAATGTCTAAAAGGCGGCAGCTTCAAGTGGACAGAGGAAGCGCAAAAAAGGCTTTAAGCTTCTTAAAAAGGAAATTCATGGAGGCTTCGGTCTTGTAGCTTCCAGATTTTGGAAAGGTGTTTGAAGTAGATTGCGATGCTTCGAATGTGGAGATCAGAGGAGTTCTTAGCCAAGAAGGTAAACCCATTGTTTTTTTTTAGTGAGATGATGAATAATTCCCGGCACAATTATTTAACATACAACAAAGAGTTCTTTGCCATTGTTCGCACGTTGGAGCATTGGCAACATTATCTCTTACACAAAGAGTTTGTTCTTTTCTTAGACCATGGGGCCTTGAAATATCATAATTCTCAGCAAAAGTTGAATCCACGACATGGGAAATGGATTAGTTTTTGCAAGCATTTAACTTTGTGATCAAGCATAAATCAGGTGTGCTAAATCAGGTGGCGGATGCTCTTAGTCAAAAACATTATTTGTTGCCTTCTTTGCAACTGAATGTGGTTAGGTTTGAGGTGATGAGAGATCTCTACAAGGATGATGCATACTTTGGCAAAATTTAGGATTAATCCTCGAAAGCTCCATTTAAGCTTTTAACGATTCATAATGGTTATCTTTTCAAAGGTAATTTGTTATGTATTCCAGATTGTTCTTTAAGACTAACAATCATTGATGAAGCACATAGTGGAGGCCTGGCAGGACATTTTGGGAGAGAGAAGACTCTTGCACTCATAAAAAAAAAAAAAAAAATTATTAGCCATGCATGGAAAGAGACGGAAGAAGTACATTGAAAGATGCGTGACTTGTCACATTGCTAAAAGCCATGGAAAAAATACAGGTCTTTACACTCATTTTCCGGTGCCATTGTGTCCATGGGAAGATGCAAAGATGGACTTTGTTGTTGGATTGCCTCGCACCCAAAGGAACAAAGATTTGGCAATGGTAGTTGTTGATCTCTTCTCAAAGATGGCACATTTCACTCCTTGTCTCAAGACTATGGATGCAACCCATGTGGCTGATCTTTTACTTCAAGTACATTGTTAGATTTCATGGAATCCTGAAAACCATCACCTCTTATCAGGATTTAAAGTTCATCATCCCCAAACCGATGGGCAAACTAAGGTGGTGAATGGAAGCTTGGGAAATTTATTGAGGAGTTTGGTTAAGAAGAATCCTCGTCAATAAGATGCGGTTTTGACTCAAGCGGAGTTTGCTTATAATTGGTCTTCGAGTCAAAAAATAGGGCGGAGTCCGTTGAAGTTGTTTATGGTAGAAATCCTATCACTTCGATGGATATAACTCTCATTCCTCTTACTCATCATATCAGTGGAGATGGGGAAGATCATGCCAAGTATATCAAAGAGTTGGATGAGAAGGTCCGTAGAAAAATTGTGAAACATAATGAGAAGTATCAAAAGATGGCGAACAAGCATAGAAAGAAATCTGGTTTTAAACAAGATGATTTGGTTTGGATTCATTTGAGGTAGGAACGTTTTCCTAGAGTTCGGCATGGAAAGTTACAGCCTAGAGCTGATGGTCCTTTTCGAATTTTGAAGAAGATTGGTGATAATGCATTCAAGGTGGAGTTGACTGGAAATTATGGTGTTTCAGCTACGTTCAATATGGCTGATTTGTCACCATATGTTGGTGATGAAGATGATCCAGATTCGAGGACGAATCTATATGGTTACAAAGATCTTCGAGTCTAGTTTTCAAAAACAATTACAGATCTAAAAATTAATACTCCTACAGAACTTTACGGCCGTTTCACTGAAGCGTGACAGACTGCAAAGAATCACCGGACCAACTTTTATTTTGCTGATTTTGATAATTCATCTCCTCATTATGAACCTTGGTTTCTTCATATTCATAGTATTTATCAACATTTATTTAAGTTTACATTTATTTGGAGTTTAAGTTGATGCCTATATTATGACTATCTTTTGTAAGTTTGAAGGAGAACTTGGAAATTAAAAATTTACCTTAAGCTGTTAAGCTTGTTGGAAGATATTGTCTTCTTATATTTTGCTCTAAAGTCTTTTGGTGGATTCCTAGAATGGTGAGTGGTGAGTGTTCTTTTGTGGTACCTCTTACTTCTCTAATTTCCCGGCATCATCCACCACAGTTTGATTTTTTTTCGTTCGGTAACACCATTTGCTCTAGTGTATAGGGTTTTGTAAGTTCCTTGCGAATCCCATTATTTTTTTAGAAAAATATTGAATTCATTAGATACAAATTCTCCACCTTTGTCCCTGCGAAGTTTCTTGATATTATTTTTGCATTGCTTCTCTACCAATGTCTCAAACCGTTTCAAATAGTCAAAATTTTCAGGTTTGAGTATAAGGAAATAAAACCAACTGAAACGACTGTGATCATTTCTAAACAAAAGAAAATATTGACTTCCGCCAAGTGATTCTGTTTTCATCGGCCTACCCAAATCAGCATGCACGAGTTCAGGTTTTTTGATGCTCTCAAAGAATTACCAACATGAAATGAAGCTCTTGATTGTTTCCCATACACACAACCTTCACAAAAATCTATTTCAGAGATTTTTGGCAAGCCAAGTACCATTTCCTTTTGGCTTAAAAGCTTCAATCCATTCACATTCAAGTGACCGTAATGTAAATGACAAGTATTAGATTGTATGTTCTTTCTAGCAACCAATGCCTTGTCCACTGATTTCGATACATCCAATAGAAACATTATGTTTTGTGTCATCAGGACTGTTGGAATAATGGACGATTCCTTGTCAAACACAATATAGTATCCACTTGAGATCGATTGCTCGACGCTTAGCAGATTATGGGCTAAGGTTGGGAGAAATTGCACATTTGGAAATGTCTAACATCACCTTGTATTTTGTTGATGGAAATTGTTCCTTTCCCTTAAATGTTCATTTCTTTTGTCTCCAAATCAAACCAATCCTTTTTCCATTTCATAAGTTCTTCGAATAGAGACTTCACACCAGACATGCGGTTCGAGCATTCACCGTCTAGAAACCAAACATTTTCATTCTCAGCATAAAAAATAAATCGATAAATCAACCATAAACAAGTTTCTTGGATCCTTGGCTTCTTCGGTAAAATTTACCCGTTTTTGTTCATCCCTCTTTTTAACCCAACAATCAATATTTTAGTGCCCTATTTTGTTGGAGTATGGGCATTGTATAATTATTTTTTTCTAAATTGGCGTGGTTCAAATTGACTTGCCTCTGCCCCCACCACATCCTCGTCTTGAGTATCCCCTTTTACTTGAAATGCTTTTTCTTCACAGTTTTTTACAGGATTGATCAAGTCATGCTTCATGTGGCCATTAAAGAACTCATCAATTCAGCAAGAGTGTAGGTAGATAAATCCTTACTTTCTTAACATCGGCAACCACGTGATCAAATTTTGGAATCAACCTCCTCAACACCTTACATACAACCATTTCAGTACTGATACTTTCAGCATATGATTTCATTTGATTAACAATTTCGGATACCCGAGAGAGGTATTCTTGCACAAAGGGGATGCAATTTGATAATGATGATTTTCTTGTCACCTAAAGATTCTTGCTGTAGAATATCCCACACTTGCTTGGAGGATATTGTGGCTGCCTGCAATACAGGGGAAGATCTCATTCTCCAATGCCTATTGGACGAGTAATAACAGTTTCGCATCTTTTCTGCTATTCTCCCGTAGTTGATGATCTGGATTAGCCGGCAAGTTCCCACAATTCTTGAGACTTTGATAGAGTTTTCATCTTCAAAGTTCATAGGCGGTACTTCGGAATTAATGGTTGATGTTGATTGGAACAACTCTCGTTGGACAGTTTTCTTGTTGTGAAGGATAGAAACGGGCTCACATTTTTCACCTTTTCAAAATTAAATGACTTGACCAAAAAAAGAAACTGAAAATAAATTTGGCGGACGAACAAAATATTCTCACCGGTCGCTCGTCTTTAATCTCCTTCAGTTTCACCAGCATATATATATATATATATATGTGTGTGTGTGTATGTATGGTTTGGCTCAACCAATCGATGGATCGATCAATCAATCCAACTCCCAGCCTTATGTTTTCTGGCAGCAGCAGCAGGCAATTTCAATTTCAATGTCTGGACGAGTGCTGCTCCAATTCCAATCTCAGAATGTATCTTGGAAAGTAGCAGCATTGCCACTGCTGCTGGGTGATGCTGCTGCTGTTCCAGTAGAAGTTTCCTTATGCCGGGAGAAGAGTAGAGTCTACAACAGCCCGAAATCAGGGTGACCCAAACTACTTCATCCGGCTCGAAAGGCATCCCTTTTATAACCTCCACCGCCTTCTCCAGCTGACCTGCCCGACCATAAAGGTCCACCATGCACGAATAGTGTTCCATTTGCGGTTCCACTCCATATTTCCCACTCATCGACTTGAATACCTCTTCACCTTCTTTAACCAGTCCTCCATGCACGCAGGCTCCCAAAACGTTGATGAACGTAATCTCGTCAGGAACCACACCCCTCCGCACCATTCTCTCAAACTCTGCCAATGCCCTCCCCGCAACTCCATGTCTCGCACATCCTCCGATGATGGAATTCCACGACACCAAATTTTTCGTCCCCATACCCCCAAACACACAGAATGCAGCATCTAAATCCCCGCATTTCCCATACATGTCAACAAGGGAGGTCGCCAGAACCACATCGAGATGAATCCCTACTTTGAGGATGCAAGCATGAACTTGCCTCCCCGCAACAAGAGAAGAGCAGCCAGCACAAGCATCTAGAGCACACGAAAAGGTATACTGATTTGGCCGTATAAGTGTTCCAGAGTTCATCATTAAAGGAAACAAATTAAGAGCCTCGGAGAACTTCTCATGCCGGATGCATCCTCTCATCATCGCAGTCCACGACACTACATCCATATCATCGCCCCTCCGCCTCCGCCTCTCGAAAACCTCCCTTGCTTCACTAACCATTCCATTCTTCATATACCCATTGATCATGGTGCTCCAAGAGAAAGCATTTCTCTTGAGCATCAAATCGAAAGCCTTCTTCGCTTCATCTATCATCCCAAACTCCATGTAACCCAATAATACTACATTTCCGGTGACAACATTTTTATTTAATATCTCATCAGAAACTCTACAAAAACTACCCCGATCACCTAATCCGATGTATCCCCTCATTAAGGCAGAGCCCAAATAGATATTAAGATCAAGCCCGAGAGGAATGACGAGGCCGTGCAGCTGAGGAACCAGAACGCAAAACTCCTTAGTGTTGGAAAATGCACTGAGAAGTACTGCGAAGGTGAGCTCGGTGGGTCTGCTATGGCGGAGCATCTGTAGAAAACAAAGATGAGCGTTGTAGGGGTCATGGGCATCGCGAAAACCTGTAAGCAAAGTAGTCCAAGAGACGGCATCTCTGTGGGGCATTTGATCGAATAGGTTGTGGGCATGAGACAGGCGGCGCGTTTTGATGTAGCCATTGATCAAGGAGTTCCAGGAGGAGGTGTTCCTGGACCGGGGGTACGCATCGAACAGTTTTCGGGCGTCATCGATATTGCCATCGCGAACGAGTTCGTTGATTCTGTCGTTCAAGTAATTGGTAGAGAGTGTGTAGAGGTAATTCTGTCTGCTAGCGGTGGTACAATTAGAATTAGAAAGCCGCAAAAGTATGCGCATGACAAATTTGCTGCACTGACTACTGCTCGATCAGACATGAAATAGTAATAATAATTTCTTCCGTCATTCATTTTTTTTTTTTTTTTTAAATCTATTTTCATTTATAGTAAAAAAAAATATCACTTTTCTTTACCAAAAAAATATAAAAAATTTTATTTTTATATATATTTTTTTAAACTCGTATCAGTCAAATAAACACACAAGATGACGAAGAAAATATTAGTAAAGGATTGACGGCCATATATATTTAGGTAAGATTTTGTTTCACACGTACCAACTGTAACTATTTTCTTTCTTAAGTTTTTATATATGGTGGGTTTCACCGTTAATGTTTCCAATTTCATCATAAATTATTCGTGTAGTTTTAAAAGACACTGTACAATTTTTAAAAATCATTTTGAAATTCCTGGAGAATTATAGTTAATTTTGTCAAAAAAAATTAGAATATTTTTAAATTTTTTATAAATAATATGACAATAAAAAATATATGTAATATAAATATTATTTTATAAATAATAAATTTTTTTATAATACAAGCAAATAAAAAAATACTTTTAGTTATTTATAATGAATGTAAATTAATTTTTAAAACATATATGAAATATTAAATATAAATAAAAATATTTATTTTTTGCTATAAAAAAGGATGACGTCAAATCTTTTATTCTCAATTCTCTCTATTTTCTCTATTTCTACTACTTCTTTCGTCTCAAAACTATAGTTTTAATTGGGTTAGACACATGATTTAAAGAATATTAATATTATATTGGTAGTGGGTAAAAAAATATAGATAAAAAACTTTTTTGCCTTTTATGAGTGTATTAGTGTAAAAAATAGTGGCAATTGTGTAATAAAAATTGAAAAAATAAGTGTAGTTTTATGGTGATATGATTATTTATTAAAATAAGACTATTGTTTTGGGACGGACAAAAATTGTAAACAAAACTATTGTATTGGGACAGAGGGAGTAATAAAATAGTAACAAGTGAAAGAGTGAATATGATAGGATTTAGATTTATATATTCTATTTTTTTAAAGAGGTGTATTCAATTAAAATTTTAATTAATTGTTTTGTATTTTAAAAAGTTTATGAATTGATTTTAATAATTGATTTAGATGAAATTTTACAAATTTGATTAAATTCCTTATGAATTTATATGAATTTCTTAGGATCGGGGAATAATTGTATTTATTGATATATAATTATATAAATTTATATTAAACACAAGTTTTATAAATATAATATATTTATAATTAAAGTTATTATATATTATATTTTATAAAAATAAAATATAATATATAATTATTAATAATGTAATAAAAAAATATTTCCTCACTCTCATACTAAATTATCCATTTTTTCATTTTAGTTTGTCCCATAATAAAGTATTTATTTCTTTATATATTACACAAATGTAATTATCTTTATATCACACCATACTAATAAAGTTATTTTTGTCATTTTTATATTATTCATACTATATATCAATATAATACTAATATATTTTAAACTACGTGCAAAATTCAAATGTATATTTATTTAAGGGACGGAGGGAGTATTGTAACATATAATAACACTATTATATTGTACATTAATATTTTTAATTTTATAATTTTTCGTATTATATTATTATTCAATATATCAAATTATTTTTATATTTTTTCTTAGTTATTATTATTATTTATATAACTTTTTACATAAAAAATAAATGTGTACATAAATAAAGTAAAAAATATAATTTCAATTTTTGAAAAAAAATATTAAAATAAAAAATAAATAAATATAAATTAATGATTTAACGAAAAAATATATATATCTATTTCACTGTTACTAATACGATAATATATTGTATTCGATAATTGAAAAAAAAAAAGACGGCAATAATATATATTTATTATGATATAATTTTTAAATATTCCCTCCATCTTATCTATGTATCCACTTGCTTTTTATAAGGAGTTTTAGAAATATTAATATTATATTAGAATGGAGTAGGAATAAAGTATAACCGACTAAAATAACCTTATTAGTATTGTGTGATATAAATGTAATGACATTTGTATAATATATTGTAAGTTGTAAGGGTATTTGTAATGTTAGATATATAGTACAATTACCAAAAAAAAGAAATAAATAATTTGTTATGGATAGACCAAAATAAAAAAATGGATAGATTGCTAAGGAACAGATGAAATATTATATTTATAATATAAAAATATATATTTTCAAAAAAAAATTGATAATAATTAACTATATTTTAATTTGAAATTATTATTATTATTGAAAATTATAATAATATTAATAACACGTAGATAGCAATAACAACAATAACAACAATAATAATAATAATAATAACAATAATTTTAAGAACCCATCAAAATATCTACTTATCGGGAGATTTTTCATACTATACAAATTTTCTATATTTTCAATCAAAATCCAATAAAGTCCATAGACATGAATTGTTGAATACTTAGGATTTTAAAAGACTTTAAAATTGTCTGGATTGAATACCTCCATATTTTAAAAGACATTTAAAAGTGTTAATTGAATACCTCCATATTTTAAAAGAGTTTTAAAAGTCTCGATTAAACATCCCATAAAGTACATCATTATTATTTATCAATATATTTTTAAAAATAAATAAAAATAAAAATTATATCCAAATTTAAATTTTATTATATTACTTTAATATAAAAATATATTAAATGTTTATTTATTTGTATCCCAAACATAAAAATAATATTCGGTTTGCATACTACTAGCCACATAAAATGATAATATATTTTACAAAAATTGTAAAAAAAAAAAAAAAAGAAAAAAAAAATATTCTTGATTAAAAATTAAATTTAAATATAATTTTTAATGGGTAAAAATCACTCTAAAAAATAAAATAAATAATCCAAAAAGAAGTTCTTGAAACATTACAAATTATTTAAAATAAATATTTTTTATACACTAATATTTTAAGGATTTATTTATATATATTTTTTAATTTTGAGTGTGATACTTTATAAATAAAAGAATACATTATTAAATATAAAAATAGCATCATAAAAAAGTAAAATTTAATTTAGATATACTTTTATTTATTATTTTGGAAAAAAATAATTAAATTATAAAAATATAGTTAAATAAAGATAGTTAAATCATAAATCTTAATTTTTATTCTATTTGATTTTTTTAGCACACATGTCACAGTTTAATTGGTTGGAATATAGGAATATAGGAAATAGAGAAGTTGGGAATAGAGAATTTCATCCGGAAAGGATTAGAAATAAAAGAAATTTTGAATAGATTTTAATGTTATATATTATATAGTTAATTAAGTTAATTTATATTTGTTAATTATGTTATTAATAAATTTTATTCAAACCAAAAATATATCAATTATAACAGATATACAAAAATAAAAAAAGTCTATTGTTACAGGACGAGAGAGTATCTAATTAAATTTCATTTTACAAACTCTCTTTTACCGTAATATTTATTTTTTTAAGTGTGGAACTCATTTTTCAATTTTCATTTTCTATTTTTTATCATTTGATGTGGGGCTCATTTTTATTTTAATTATTTTATGTGCTTTCTTTGTTTTTTTTTAAAAAAATACATGTGAAACTCACTTTTAACGATTATTTCAAGGTTATTATTTTTTAATTTAGTAATTGTATTACCTATCTAATATAATAAATATCGTTTCAACTTATATTATATTATACAAGTCTCGTTACTTTTATATTATACAATATTAATAGGGGTACTTTCGTCTTTTTCACTACAACCTAATATAATATTAATATTTAAAAATTAACGTGTAAAAAAGTAAACAACAACCTTGTACCAGGACGGCGAGAGTAGTATTTTATTAGTTAGGGAAAGTGTATAAGAGTTTTAACATTTTTGCCCTTTGACTTTTGATTGTATATATAATGATATGTTTGTAATTTAAATAAGTTAATAGTATTTTAGTATTAATATATATGATTATTTTTTCTAAAATAGAAAATAAATATTTTGAAGTGAGGACATATAAAAATAATAAAACTGATATTTTGAATTAGGAGGAATGAAGTATTATTAATTATTCTAGTGTTGAAATTGTGAACCTAAATTGATTTTACCTATTACTATAATATAATTTATTTGTTACAGAATAGTGAAAATATTTTCTTTTATTTTTTTTAGTGGATTAAAATAATTATTATATTTTATTAATTAATAAAAGTGTATAAGATAATTTTGAGATTTTTTATCATTGCAAGTACAAAAGATAATTTATTTATTTTATTTTTTTTTTGTAAAGATTAGGAGTATTTGAAAACCTAAGACAAAAATGAATATTTTTAAGGGACGAATAAAAAAAAGAATATTTAAGTGAGGGACAAAAAAAAAGAAAAAAAGAAAAGTGAATTCAAATTTTGATGACAAATGAATATATATTATCAAGTTAATTAAATTAATTTGTATTTGTTAAATATATACATATGTATAATTTTATATGTTATGAAGCTAATTAAGTTAATTTATATTTATTAGTGGTGTATTTGTTTGGTGGTTTGGATTTTAATTTTAGATTTGAATAGTAAAATAATTTGAATTACAATAGTTATATGATGTGATATAAATAAGTGTTAGATGTAATCTTTTGAATATAAAATTAATTTTTAATATAATATAAAAAATAAAAAATAAGTGTTTGATTCGATATTTTTAGAAATTTTTTTTTTTATGAATAATAGATTTTTTGAAAAATCCTATAGACGAACACACCCTAATTATATTTTGAATTAGTAATTTTACGGAATATAGAAAAATGTCAAATGAAATTGAACATGTTAGAATGAAAATATATTATTTGTTTCGACCAGGATAGAGTATAATCTAATACTACTGTAATAATAATAATAATAATAATAAATTATTGATGTGTCCCACCAAATTATTCTACAATTGAAATTAATGATCAAAATTTACTTTAAACATTATATTAATACTCCCTCCGTCCTA